CGCTAAAATAAATGTATGGAAATGTGTGATATCCATGAGGGATGGATAATGCAGAGGGAGACCTCACGCTATAGTAGCACCGATAATGGATCTTTAAGAAGTTCTAGCTAAAACTATTATAGTACAAAGGAAAGGAATATGGCTTAACTTATCCAAAATTTTTTTCTTTTACTGAATAAAGAATTGGAGATTCCTCAGCTCATCAGCTTATTTAATAGAGATGGAGAGGAACTATTCCATAAACTTATTTTTTTTCATAAAAAAGTGCATATTTTAAAACATTGGGTAATGTCTTTACGGTAAAGATTCTGGCTCTGAAATTTGAAAAGAAGCTTAGCAGCTTTATAAGCAAATATCTTTACAAATACCACTTAATATTGAAGAAATTCCTGCAGATTACTAATGAGATCCCCATAAAAAATGAACCAAATAAATTACACAGGCCTGTGATGGTTTTATCATCTTGGAATTTTTACATGTCCTATAGTAATTCCTGTATGCTGAATCAAAAAATTATATCCATTTTTCTCCATCACATACAGATTTTTCACACAACTTCATATGTACTTTTACATAAGTGAATCATGTTCATTGAAGACATTTTGTTATGCTTAAAATGTTGACAATCACTGGCTAGACAAATCGCGAAGTGAGAGTCTTATCGATCGTTCTAGAACCCAAACATAACAAACATAATAATAAAATGTTCATTGTGGTAAATGAAATAATAATTTGATCTATGTAAGTTTTTCTTCCTGATTTCTAAAAAATTCTTATGAAATATAAAAAAATGAATATTATTTTAAAAATCTGTGTAGCTGAATTATGAATAATCCATTATTAAAACCCAAACCCAGTAATGGAAGCCAGCATTTTACAAGATTTTAAAAGGGGAATCCAATGTTTCTGTAAAATAAAGGGTGGGTGTGCTGGGTCCACCTTCAAGGAGTAAATGGTTCCTTGTTGTTTGAACTTTCAATGTGTTTTTAATTGGAATGATGTGATTAGTGGAACTTCTCAGCAGTCTGTTTTTTGGCTTTCTTGGTTAACTCTTTGTGGTAATGATTTGAATAGTTTCTTGGAAATTGTTTCTAAGGATACTAGGATGACAAAAATTGAGTCTTAGTAAATAGACCAAAATGTGATAAAATGAATTTCACTATTGAAGAATATAGGTACTGCAAGTGACATAAGGAAGTCCAAAGAGGGCTTCTCATGTGAGAGAAGCACTGATGTTGGGAAGTGAAAAACAAAAAGGAGAATTTAGACATTATTGTTGATAAAACCTTTAAAGTTCTCTGTTCAGTGTTTAGCTATGGTTAAAAAACAAATATACTTCTTGTTTTATTATTGTGTGCAAGAAACTTAAATTTACAAGCAAGCTAATAAATGTTTGTTAGATTAATGCTGTAGTATTTCTAGGTTGGTGTTATAAAACAAAATATGAAAGTGAATAATTAGTCTATTCAGCTTCTAACAGTAACACTAAATTTCAACAACTTGTTAACAACAAAAATTCAATTGACAAGTCTAGTCTTCTATAAATGCCTTTTTTTTTTAAATAAAACGTTCACACTGGCAATCTTAAGTTAAAACTCATAGTATTTATAGGAATTTTTCTTCCCAGACTAATTGCCAAGTAACTTTTGAAAGCTCCAAATACTACCTTTAGCCTGTTAATCATTTAAATTTAATCATGCCATAACTTAAGTTAGGTTTGATAAACCAAACCTTTGCCACAACCGCAATAACTAGTTTTGTATTGCTTTGGATCTACTTAGTTTACGTTTTTATCAGTTTTAGTATGGATCAAATACGTCATTGAGTGTCACACATTAAATGAACAGATTCAGATCCTAGATTAACAGAAATTAGAATAGATAAACACTAGTAGTAGTTGTAGTAATACTACTTTTACTACTACTACTACTTTTAACTTCTTAAAACTAGTATATTTTGACTGTTGCCACATTTATAATGTGATCATTTTTCTTAAATGTGGAGAGGGAAGTTCCTTAAAATATAATTATATTGCGGCTGAAGAAACCTGCTATTAATATTATCATTATTAACAACTGATAATAACGTTTATAAACTAACACTAACACAATTTTTAAATTAAATATAGTAGTAGTAGTAGCACCAGTTAAAAATTAACTCAGCGGTTCAATCTTTTTTCCTAAAAGTTAAATTACGTAAGTTAAGTAATCAGTATAAAAATACCAATAAATCATTAACCATCTCACACCTAATCAGTTAATTTAATTCGAAAAACGTCAGACGCTTCATTCCAACACTGTCGGATCTAACTTACCGGGTAGCTGTAGGCAACCAGTTGACTTGACAGTAGTGAAGTTTGCAGTGTTGACCTATGGAACTTGAGTTTTAATATATATATATATATATATAAAAGCTAATAAAAGTAAATTTTCGAAGATCTAAAAACAAATTAATCTCATATAAAATATAATAATACAAGCAATGATTGTACATCAGAAACTTGTCTTAAAGTTTTACAAATTATACTTTTACGGTTTGCAATGTTTTCCGTGTAAACTGTAAATTTTCTTAACTTTCATAAACCACTTGTCGTCTGATAACATAACATATTAAAAAGAATTATCAATATACGTACTATCTATTTTAAAATTTATAACAAGAAATTAACTTAGATAAATTTTAATATTCCTGATATTCTTTGAACATTTACTTTTTAAGAATTAGAACCTAATATATAATTTTAAGCAGTTATTTACTGAATAAATTTTATTTACAAAATGACTTAATCTATAAGTTTAGCGTTATTTGCCTTCGGATTTACCGCTGAGCCACCGGGTTGGCTTCAACAATGGCAAAAGTTATTTTTTTAAATTCATTTATGTGTTAATAATTCTAGTTTTTTGCTGAAATGAAGTTTTCAATATATGATGATCCTCTGTAGGCTGCTTCGAGAATTTTATAGATTAGCTTGTTATTGAATCTGTGTGGTAAATATTTCGAAAGGAAGCGTGAAGTGTAGTGTATATTAGAAGGAGTAAAGAATCCTAGTCAGGATTAACAGATTAACAAAAATAATTTTAATTATTCTTACTGAACATCATATGTAAACGGTATAACCACATCGTCGATCCCTTTATGGTATGTCAGTCTGTTGTAGAATAATTTTATAGTCAGATCTTCTCATTCTATTACAGGGAAAATATTCGGTCAATAAACGCTTTAATCATTCTAATTCCGAGCGCAAGAAACATAAAAAAAGCGTATATTAGATTTTTAGATAGAATTAGTTGAGATCATGCTTCCAAAGAGTAAAAAATAAAAATTAACTGTAGTCTGAAGGATCCAATTAGAAAAGTGGAAAAATATTTGAGGATTTCTCAGAGAAATAATGTAGAACTTTTAATAAATGGATGCAAAAGAAAGAAGAATTGATGGAATGCATGACTAAAAGTTACGACGAACAAGAAAAAATATTAATGAGAGTATAATTATGGAATTTCAACCACACTATATTCGTCATATCCATTGCGTCGCGTTTCGCTCAATACAGAACTCTTCGGGCTGGCTGGGATAAAACGAACAAGTTCCCCGGTGGAATAGCCGCAAGTCTTCGGATTCACAACGCTAAAATCAAGGGTTCGATTCCCCTCAGTGGACATAGCAGACAGCTCGATGTCGGTTTGTTATAACTAAACACACACATATAACAAAAATAGCAGAGATCGGAATAGCAACTATTTTTATGGTGCTAACGCCTTTTAGAAGCTGACGAAGCATGATTGTAATGAATTATATTTGTCATAAGGCATTATGTTAGGCCTATTATACATATATATACTTATGTGGGAGCTCTCTACTGTAGTGTTTTGGCTATTGCCATCTGGCAAGTGGTCTCTGATGTAGTCAAACCTTCCTAGTGCTTAGATGAACTTTACAATGAAGGTTCTTTTAGGTTTTGTGATATGGTATTATATGCACAAGTGGATGCACATCAGATGCCAGCGGTGCTTCTTCACTTAGAATTCATTGATAGGACACATCAAAATCTGAGGACAAATCCCAGTTGATTCTGAATAGGTGGGGGAGCATATTTGAGAAAAAGTTGATATATATATATTTTCAAATGGTTTGAACTTGCTAAATTCAAATATTTTGTTTACAAAGCTTAATTTTTGGTTTATTGGCCTCAAAGTGCAAAAAAAAGAAAGAAAATTACCATCATATTCATAATTAAGTTCTGGAATTTGTAAACTAACAGTGATATAAGCAAAATCTTGGTGTTTAATCCTTTTTTTTTGTTACCTGTATTTTTTGTAAATCATGAAAAAGTAAAAAATAGTTTAAAGTTCTCAACTTGCTTTTATAATATGTGTTATTATTTTGTTTTATACAAAATAATAATTCCATGACCCTGATAATGCATTCAGCATCTAGAGGTGGATGCAATAATTTTTATTCTTGTTTCCTTTTCAGACCTACATTGGAGCCAATAGTCAGTCTAGAAAGATGTCCCTTAAGCTATTTTCATTTGTCAAGAAAAAGAATCTCATGTACTGTTTGATGCTACATTACAAGGTCTAACCTCTATCATGGTGTCAATTATAAAAGACTGTTTAATGTAGGTAGTATCATTAATTAATTTATGTTGTGTTTGCAATCCATTGATGTCGAGGTTATGGAGATTTCTTGAAGGCCTAAGTGATAGACGTATAAACAGTTGCAACCAGACGAGCAGAAATAGAATAGAAGTAAAGTCACATGAAAGAGAAGTTGAGTCTAGAGAAAAGTTAGAAAATGTAAAGCTAACCATGGTGGGAGTGAATGGCCTAACAGTTGATATGTTACAGTGGGATTAACGGTTTGAAAGACACCAGGAGAATAACTTGTCTCGCCAAAGGGTGTTCTAAACTAACTGAACCTACCTGTGTGGACTTTAACAAAAAGCAGAAGATTATTGGAAGTTCAGGAGACAACTGCGGTAACTCACGCAACAGCATAATTGAATTATACACGAATACTATTGTAATTATGAATATAAAAAATACTTTGGCTTGTCAGTTGAAATATAAAGCAACTGAATTGGCCTAAGTGGACTCTTGACAACAGGAAAAGAACTGTACAGTGTTTACGATACAATTATGATATCCATGGTGTAAAGAATTTTGTTCATATGTTTAACTTGTTTCGAATATATACATATTATTGTTACGTCTCCGTTTGTTAATTGATTTTTCCGTAACTTCGTTCCAACGAAACTTTAACGACACAAGTCTTTACTTAATAAAACAGGTTTATTCTCTCCGAATATAACTCTGCGATACACTTAATCTCAATACTCGCGCTGAAACAACACTAATCAACGAACGTCAACAATACTTCTGACTGCAGTTCAATTACTCACTGTCTATCTACCCACCTTACATTCCCCTCTTTTATATATACCAGCCTACCCTATATCGAGTAATTACTAGAGCATTCGCCAAAGTACATGATAGTTCTAGAAACGTTGCGTCATAGTGGTCATGTGACTCGCTGACGCAACATTATTTTAAAAACAAGTGGAGTGTGTGCTGTTTGTTTATTGTCGAATTTATCGCCAGCAAGTCACAGACACCTTCTGTAGAATAATCCTTAATCCAACTACTCATATATTTACATTACTATATATACTACTATAAAGTACTTTTTGACACACAAAAGCAACCACCGTAAGACAGAAGCTATGGCATTTCACAGATAGTGATGACATACATAGAGCTGCATCAGCTTTTAATTATAGTTTAGATTATACACCAGTGCTGGTTTGGCATACAACTATTATGTTAATTTTCACAGCTAAAGGTAAAACAAGAATATCTGGAAATGTTTATAAGCTCCTGTTTTCAGGCACGTGATACTCCACCTTCTAAATTATTGGATTCGGGATCACACAGCCATTCACTCAATATTGATTATACTGCTTATATATTCAGTCAAGACAACAGTACTAAGCAAAAAATTTTATTCAGAAGAATCATGAACATGAACAGACAAGTCTATGCAGTAACTAAACATGAGCAACATATCATTATCTGTTTAACAGGTATGGATGATCATATTTCTGCTGAGGGGAAGTACTGTCCAACTTGTCTGAAGAAGTTTATGGGAGATATTGTCAACCCTAAATATGAAAAATACATGCTAATTTAGCTATGATATGGTATGGGAAGAAGTTAAGACAATCTGCAGACAAGTGGAAAGTTGAGAAGTTTAAGAAGTTCGAATTCGCTACACCAAACTTGCACATGAAGATGGTATTGATATCCCGATATATTTTGTCAACTGCTCAACAACATTTAAAAAAGTTTTTATCCCTCATAAAAGATGTCTATAAACTTATTATCCTTCACAACCAAACTTCATTTGATAGACAAACAATACTTTTTCTAGTCAAATTCAGCATATACCCATTTCTCAATGGACAATCTCTTATCACGACCTTCATGAAGACTACTACTCTTTCAGTCTTCAAGCTCCAAGAAGACGAGCTTCTCTCTACAGCCCATGCAGTATTGAAGCTTCAATCAGATATAAAGTCCCAAACAGCATGCACATGGGTGAATGGTAATGGGGAAAATGCAATAGCTTATTTGTCAACAAATCTGTACATGTTTCTCCACCTTCTGCTAGGTGGCCAGTCACTTTTGGAGGCAGGACCTAGGAGACAAAATGATGATCAGCAAGAATATCACACCAGGGTTCCATGTATTGAAAATGATCTTGGTTATAGTGTAAATGGGGTTGAGAAATAGACTCCAAATCATGTTGGATTAAGAAGCACCCTGCACCAGGCCACTAGATCCAAACAACTTATACTCCATCATAAGTTACAGAGATATACTATGGATAGACCCAACATTGGGTGAGAAAACTATGGACCTGGAAAATGGAAGTATTGCCAAACCTAATTTGGTCACAACAGACAACATAGATATCAATGACGCAGCTCTGGATAACAAACCCCCTTCTATGCCACATAGGTTGCAGCTTGGCACAGATGACCAGCCCTTGATGAACTACTTGAAAACATTGAACCTTCAAACAGGAGATTCTAAAAGTTCCTGAAGCAATGGAAGCCATCATCCCTATAAACATCATTGAAGGAACCACAGAGCCATAGATCAAAAATGCAAAATGATAATGGTTTGATAAATCTATGAATAAGTCATCTTCTGTCCTGAGAACACAGGACTCAGACTTAACATTTGTTATAATACAACAAAGTGAACAAAAATATGGTTGAGCAACTTCAATTAAAAACACATCTAAATAAGTTCACATAAAACCACAGTTGGCGATACGCCCATTATTTAAGCCTCTGCTCATTACATTGGAACACTGAATGGGACA